ATGACTGGTTCAGTCCCGCTCTCCATGTATGGTCCTACAACCTATTTTGTGTTATGATGGTTAAAATGTACCTGATGATTAGTGACAAATGAGTTTTCTGGAGTTGCACGGTTCACCGAGGTCATCTGGTGAATATCATCATCATGTGTAGAGCTGAAACAACTAATCGATTTAATCGATTATAATCGATTATTAAAATAGTTAACAACTTTTTTAGTCATCGATTAGTTGTTTAATAATCATATTTTACCGCATAAAGTCTATTTTTACCACAATCTGACATCGGTTACAAGCTGTTAAATTTGCCGCCAGTGTGTGGCAGTAATGAGCCAATGAGTGCCCTCGGTTTTCATGACGTATCACGTTACTGACTCTCATCTTGCTGTGAGAGATGGCGGAACAAGAGGAAATACGGGAGAAAAATAGAAGCGACAAAACTGAAGAGAAACCCCGGACAAAAACCTCACGAGTATGGGAGCACTTCACTCTAGATGCCTTGAAAAGACGGTTGACCTGCAAAATATGCAAAAACCATCTAGCATGGCACGGAAGCACGACGTCCCTAAGTGAACATTTGAGACGAAAGCATGTGGGGGCTGATGCAGCAGAGGAAGAGCACCGCGGTCAAGTGAGCCGTCATTTGGAAGAGCCAGCCCGGTAAGTAACAGAAAATAAACAAGCTGGACTTAGTGTTTTAGCTGAGTTTGTTATAGTGGATGTAAAACATGTTTTTTTGCCGCGTCAGTCTGCGGTGTTCTACTTCTAATTGACTAGATGCAATTGTGAATCTCCTCCGTGTTGTGAATCATGCGCTTGCCAAATTTAGCACGTCTGTTTATAAGAATGTTCTCATTAAGAGAAAAACGGCACAAACCCATAACTGTGTTCCTCATTCAAAAAAGGACAACTCCGCGGAGAAAAATATACAGACAAGCTGTGTCCAGGTGAATATAACGCGGCATAGTTGTACACTTTCAATTTTTAAATACAGGAGAAATTCAGAAAGTCATTTTTTTTACTATTAAAAGGCTGTTTTACTATCTAACGCTGTAAAACGCCTCACAACACATTTTTATCATGTTTCTTAAACAGTATTACACAAAATAAACATTTTTCACATTTCTCTGGCTAATTTAAACACTCCCGACTCAAAGTAAAAACCTCATGAGCTTCTTACTTAGAGCTTTTTAATAGTAAAAAAAATTGACTTTTTTTCTGAATATCTCCTGGTGCGGGCTATTTTGTAGAACGTAACTCTCAAAATAAATGATCACTGTATATTGTTAATTAATTCAAATAATATAATATTGATTTAGTGTTGTAGTGTGTGTGCTGCTTTATTTTATATGTGTACTTATTTCAGTCTATTTGTGTTTCTTATGCAGAAAAAAAAAACAAGCAACGATGGACAACTACATGGGGAAGAAGACACTCACCCCCCAGCAATTCATACCACTTACAAACTCTATTCTAAACATGCTGGTAAAAGACATGAGGCCACTATCCATGGTGGAAGGAGCAGGCTTCCAGCTAATGCTAAAAATTATTCTGGACTGATATTTTGCACTGTTTAGCTCATTTTATACTGCTGACTGTGTTCATGTGCAATAAAATAGATTGCAGTCAACTGCACAATTCTCTTATGTTTTTTTTTCTTAACTGAAATGCATCCATCACTTGTATAGGTTAAATAGCTAAACAATAACAAACCGATTAATCGATTAATCGAAAAAATAATAGACAGATTAATCGATTATGAAAATAATCGTTAATTGCAGCCCTAATCATGTGCATCAGCAGCATCAGGAATGAGCTCTGCTTCACCAGCTTCCACTTGTGAAGTTACATTTGCCATCATCTATACAACACAAGTACAAATGTGTATGTAAGTCATTTTCAAAATCTGAACATGTTAGCAAACGTTTTCTAACAGTTTTTAAGTTTTCTAGTTTAGAAACAGACCATCCATAGCAACAGAAGATCTTACTCTGTATATACTAGGGTTGGCTGGTTGGGCAATTTGTATAATTTTCCCTCCGCCAATTGTCCCTCCAATAAGAGATGATGAAGATTACTGCTGCCAACTAGCGGGTGGCGATTGAATTGCGCAAAACAAAAAGAAAATACACAAATGTTTGCATGTAAATTCTTTCAGGAATTAGATACACAGCTTTTGAATATCAATGTAATAATCGCAGGAAAAATTATCACGATATATTGCCATATCGATATTTCCGATACACGGCTTTTGAATATCGATATAATATTGCTGGGAAAAATATCACGATATATTGCCATATCGATATTTCCGATACACGGCTTTTGAATATCGATATAATATTGCTGGGAAAAATATCACGATATATTGCCATATTGATATTTTCTTACATCCCTACTAAATAACTAATAGATAATAATTTCATAATGAATTATTGGAAGGGTGAATAACTAAAATAACGAGTTTAATATTAAACATTGGTTAGAACAAGAATCTTGAACATTACTAACAAAAAACATAAGAGGAAAGCTGTGTACTAGTGGTCCAGGTGGGAATCTGAAATTTCATTGGCTGAGAGAAATAAGTCCCGCCTCCGCGAAATAAAACCGTTCGACGCAGCGCTGAGCGTTTAGTGAGCAGAGAGAGAGAGGAAAAAAACAACGGTCGAGGCCGTGAAGAACCCTGATTTGGGGGCCACGTAGATAGAGGGAGAGGCGGACTCGACTCCTTCTAATAAGAACTGGGAACTTGGAACTGACGCGATGAGTAAAGAAAAAAGAAGGGAAAAAGCTAACGATGCAACTTAAAAAAGAAAAGAAAAACAAAGTGCTTATCAAATTAATTCCATTCTTATAGATTTGTGTGGAGACGACAGAGTGAACCAATCCTCTGTAGGAGGGAACCCTTGGAGCGCGTTGGTGAGTGAATGAGATTAAATTCAGCAAATTATTAAATTCAAAAAGCTAATTACAGCAACCGAGGTGACCGCAGTGGGCTGCTAGACGTTAGATCCCAGGAGTTAACATCTCAAACCACCAGTTAACGGTGGTACGGCCTAGATGTACAAGGTCTTCAGGGGCGTTATAGCTAACGCCATAGGATTAGCAATGCATGCCTCAACCAAACATTTAATAAAAAAAAATAAAAAAATAAAAGCTAACTGATTAGGGAGGAATTATTTTACAAAGGTGGACCAAAGAACCAGAATTTATACTTGATTTAATTTTGTTATAGAAAATATTTATTTATTTATTGTGTTACAGATATACAAGGTGTCAAAATGCTGTATAGAAACACAACCAAATGTATCCTTGTTGTCATGAATGTATTTCTTGTTGAACAGTGTAGAGTAATAGAATCTAACTGAGCCTATTCAGCTGAACAATTGTTGTCATATGTAATTGTATTTCCAGAGCTACTGAGAATTATTATTATAATAGACAATCAAATTGATGTTATGTTGAACTGTGAACCCAAACATGATTGGCTATGCCAATAGAGGGAAGCATTTGTTTAAGTCTGTAAGACTTTATGCTGTGATGTGATGAGAAGGGTTGATCCCAAATCGCTAACAGTCCTGCTGTTTACAGGCTGTTTTTTTTTCCCCCTTGGGTTTTATCCCGACTTCTATGATCACTCACTTGGAACGAGAATTGAATTTCTTCCTGACGAGGAAGATGGCGAGCCTTAACCACTGAACGAACCAGGACATCTCAAGTAACTGAAGAGCAGACTGCTCTCTTCTGTGAACAATCTCAACGGTGCGGTAGGAAAAAATCGCACCACTGGACTCTGACTTTCACCCCAGTCGTGGGGATTAGACTTGACGCCGGCTGACTTATGACTCATGTGATCAAATCTCAAACCGACCATTATACTATTGTCGATTGTTTTCTTCTGTTTTTATGTGTTATCTTTATGTGTTATATTTCCCATTATTATTAAAATTTCATACTATACCCATGACTCCAGTCATTCTTAAACGACCTCCAATTCTCCCCGAACCTAATTATTGGCCCATTTGTTTATTTTTTCCTTTAATTATCTTATTGTATCCTGTAATCCGGTTACAAAAGCAACAGAATATATGGTGCAGGTCCTCCACAACACAGCACATCTAGCACATTGACTTAGTATTTTTCAGGTTATGTGCTCAGTTTTCTGGCGGTCTCGCTCATACAGGCAAGTGTTGGTGAGTGTTCTGGGTGTGTTTTATTTCTGTTGTGAGACTTGAAAACTCACCTCACAGAGTTTGTTCTTCTAAAGTCCTATTGAATCTGCTGTGTTGGCGTATTTTTACGAGCTTCCCCCATGCGTTTACATCACTCTCAGCGACAGAGTTAACAGTTTGACACAGATGTGTATGTACTTTTTTGCTGCTCGCACCAGCGCAGTGTGAAGGAACGGGTGAGGGTGACATGATGCCGGACACAGGGTGTCAGCTGGCTACAGAGTCCGAGTGTAAGGTGATTGGCTCTAAAAGGCATTGATCAGAATTTGCCGATCGCGTGTTTTTCACAGAGAGCGAATTTGGCTCGGCAGCCTTGCCTCTGTCAGTGCGACCCAGGGCAGCTGTGGCTTCATCGTTGCTCAACACCACCAGTGTGTGAATGGATGAATGATACACTGTAGTGTAAAGCGCTTTGGAGTCCTTACTCTGAGAGGCGCTATACAAGTGCGGGTCATTTATCGTTTAATTTTGACCTGTGGCCGATCGATCCGAGCATCCATAATAAAGACTTCCAGGGTTAGGGTTGGTTAGCCGTGCTACATTATGGCACCAGAGGAGAGAGCTGCTTTCACTATGAGGCAGGGTCAGTGAGACCAAACACCAATGGGAATGCTGTGAGCTCCATGTTACTCTTTGAGATAGTTTCACTATTACTCTGAAGAAATTGTACATCACTTTTGCCGGTCTGCTGCCTTCTCCTTTGCTGGATCTGACGGTCTTTATTTCAACTCGCCTAGGTCCTCATTCTGTCTTTGTCTCTGTTGTAAGCAGAGGAGCTGAAGTCATGCACAGAGTCCTCAGTCTTCAAGCTAGGAAGACGCCCAGCTGCCTCACTGGTCAGCGACGATATGAGCACCACAGGGCCATTTTGGCCATCCGTCGTGAAGATGTCAATCCTTGGGAGAGGAGGGCTCCTCTGGCCCCACGCCACGTGAAAGAGCTCACCAACAATGGCGTCAAAGTCCTGGTCCAACCTTCCAACCGCAGGGCCATCCATGAGAAGGTCAGTCAGTTTTGTTACTTCATTAAAAAATGGATTTGTGCCGTATTCACATAGCTGCTGTTATCTACTCATTAGCCTTCTCTGTAGCCTTCTCTTGAAGTCTACTCTGAAGCCTTCTTCAGAGCAACGCAGAGGAAGGCTTAGTTAGATGAAACGTCAGCAAAAAGGTGAAAACAAATCTTTATTACACTGTGTGCCAAAAAGAACCAAATTATGGAGCCAAATCTTCTCAAATTTTCTCTTAACCGTTCTGATTTCCAAGGAAACAGTTTCTGTTTCTCATCGGTCCCTCCTCTTGAGAACCCCTGAGTAAACCTTACCAGCGAGGCTCAGGAGTGTGACCCACCTGCAGAGGGAACACACCCTCTGGACCCCCTTTTAAAATAGAAGGAACCACCACTGCTATCTGCTAATTCAGCAGAACTGCCCCTCATGTCCATGCAATATTGCAAAGCTGCACCAGCCAACACAACCCCACTACATCCAGGATCTTTGGACGGGTCTCATTCATCCCTGGAGCCCTGCTACCGAGCAGCGTTTTCACCAGTGATCATCAGTGATCTCAGCACCGGAGATTGGAGAGGCCGACCCAAAGTCACCAGACTTCCTTTTCTCACTGGAAGATGTGCTGGTGGGATTGAGGAGCCCTTTAAAATATTCTGCCCACCGACCCACAATGTCCCGAGTCAAGGTCAGCAGCACACTGTCACCACTGAAAACAGTGTTGGTAGTGCACCACTTTCCCTTCCTGAGGTGCCAGATGGTGGGTCAGAATCTCCTTGAAGTTGTACAGACTGCTGTACTGCATAGCCAGTTTCAAAGGGCACTAATCCCAGTAACACGGAGTAGTGCAGCTCGGCCTGACCACAGGTTCCAAGAGCACGGTTGGATATTTTCTCAATTTTTATGTCACTGCCTGTTGAAATTCTTGGCAAGGCTGAGTCGGGCTGGCATGGTGACTGTGGCTGCTGATTGGCTGGAGGGCGGAGTCCATGGTTGCTCAGGAGTTTTCTGCCTGCAGCAATTTCCTAGTTCAGAGACAAAAAGCCATAAAACAGCAGAATGTCCAGCAACACCACCATTTTCTGGTGAGTTGTGTTTCTGTGCAGCACACAGGTTACTTTACACTGATTACTGATGACCCCTCCCCTCTTCCTCCCCCCACGTCTATGAGGGGCACGCCCACTTTCTGTCACGGAGCTGGCAGGGGAACACCGGACCACAGGTACTGCTGCGGCAGAGCGCGTAAGGCTCGGATAAAAGACAGAAATTACCAGAGAGGATATGAACGGACAAACAATTTTGTGTGAATTATATATTTTTTAGGTGGCACCACTTTGAGAATGTTACTCTGGCCGAGCGCAGGACGCAGCTTCCTGGAGCTTGTGAATAATCAGCGTTCAGCATCTCCGCTCAGAAGAATTCCTGCTACGCTGAGTCAACACAAATAACGTAATCTAAGTAGAAACTGGATCTTTTTTCGGGCTTCCTCTGGGTGTGTAAGGCTTCAGAGGAGCCCGACAACCTTGCAGGAGAACCGGGCTCCCCTTCGTTCTCCTGCAATTTGAACCCTGTATCCAAATTCGGGGACGTAATGCCCAATCCCAATCGAGTCTGAAATCACATGATCAGCTCTGGACATAACCTAGTCCTGACACCAGTGCTCTGGCATGGAATCATTAAACTCCCAGGTCACGTCGAGCCACATCGGAGCAACTCCAAACCACAGCCTGCTGAAAATATAAGCAGAAATTGTTTATATTTAGAAATGAAATGCTGCAATAAGTGTCCCCTCCCCCGCTGCCTTTCAGTGGCAGGAAGCAGGAAATGGATCATCATACGAGGATGAGAGGATACATTTATAGGTGGGGAACACTGAAAAGATTTCCTGTTGCTTCCCTAGTAGAAAAGTACGCCCATACCAGTGCAACCTCTTCTGTTCGATGTAAGCAGAACAGGAAAAACCCAGAATATTTGGCTACATGCTGCCGTCTTTCTCCTTGCTTGTTATCATGTGAACCGCTGGAGTCATGCGTGGTCTTCTCCCATCATTTCATCATCTCGTGGGACCAGCTGCATGGAATGCTGTCATTTTTGTTCTGTGTCTGCAGTGCGTCTGTTACCTTAGCGCTGCTCACACGTCCAGTGGAAAATCAGGGTAACTTTTGTGTGTGTGCACCAGTGCAACCAGTGTAAAAGGTTATTCTAGAGCCATGAAAAACTCTTAATAACCTGTAGCGCAGAGAGTAGTCTGATGAGCAGACTAGGTGCCAGAGTTCTCATGCAGCCCGTGTTTTCTTCAGTTCTACATGAAAGCAGGAGCTGTGGTTCAAGAGGACATTTCTGAAGCGTCTCTGATCATCGGAGTGAAGAGGATGCCAGAGGAGAAGGTTATTCCCAGGAAGACTTATGCCTTTTTCTCTCACACCATCAAAGCCCAGGAACCCAACATGGGTCTCCTGGATGACCTGCTGAAAAAGGTGAGCCTCACAGGGACATCTCCAGTTCCCCTCTCCTAAGACGACACCTGCTTACCTAACAGATGAACAGTTTTTATAGAAGATACTTGAGCATCACCATGTAACCAACAGTGAATCGATACTTTTTAGTGGATTTCTGTTGAAAAGTTAAAATGATGAACATCTTACCTGCTGTAGATAGCCTTGTGAACGGCCTCTGTTTAGGGAAACAGAGACTAGTTACAGAAGTTTTTCTGAAGGCTTTTTCAAGGTAATTAGTTCTTTAATTAACAAGAGTTTACTGTAAATATTTATGATCTTTTAGAAGAAACCTCATTTATGACATTTATGACACTAGAGGTGCTTTTTTAAACCCACTGTACTAGAACTGGTCCCACTGTTACGTCCATACATCTATCAGAACACATCTGTAATATCTTAGGTGTTAATTGTGCATGACCGCTCTACTGAACAGACTGTCGTTAGTAATAATGAACAAAAATAAAAGTTATCCAACACTTAGCATCATCCTGAGGGGCCGATGGGAACCGCAGACATGCTGAAAATCATCAATCTCAGTTTAATCGTCTCAAAATGTTACAATACCGTAAGTTGTGTGTTTTCAGGAGGTTCGTCTGATCGACTATGAGAAGATGGTTGATGCCAACGGGTATCGGATTGTGGCTTTTGGTCAGTGGGCTGGAGTTGCAGGTATGTGAAACCAAACTGTTCTGTTCTGGATTCTCTTAGCTAACTTTTTCTTATTGAAAACTAATATAAACTAAGCATGAGCTAATAGATGATGGAACGGAAATTCTTACAGATGAATATTAACCGTAGACATAGAAACTGATAGGAAGAAAGAAAGAAAATGATGTTTTATGTAGCCCCTCTCAAGATAAAAATCACAAGGCGTGGACAAACCGTGCCCATTCCTCTCTGTTCTTCTCTTTTGACACCAAGAAGGTGGTTCCCACCACCAGTTTTGTCCATGTCACATTTCTCATCACACCCAGACGATCCAAAAATAAGAAAAGAGGTGGAGCTTTGAGGGTAGGAGCAAATGAACCAGTGTAGCTACTTGCTAACTTAGCTAACCGCTGGAGCTCTAGGACAGCCGAGCCATGCAGGGGCCTGGCTTCTCTGCGAGACTGTAGTCGTGCTGGTTGCCTGTGCCGCTCTAATATGGATTGTGAAAACACAAACACTCTCAGACATTGTGATCAGAGTCGGGCGCCCTGGCCGCTTACATCCGCTCATGCTCCGATCCTCCTCCACGGTTGGTACTCAGCAGGACGTTAGTGACATGCTAAGCTAAATGGCGCTTTTAGTGAGGAAAAGGCAGTTGAGCGACTCCAAAGTGAAGCAGCAACTCTATGTCTATATGGGCGGGGACTAAACTAGCTCAAATAAAAGATGTTAAACTGAGTGAGATTACATTCTTTTACATAACTTTCAAAAATGATAAATAAGCTTGCTGCAAAAAAGTGAATAATTGTTTTTACTGTATCTTTTTATTGTTTTTAGGAGGAAATATAGATAAAAAACCACAAGCATACATTATTACATTACATTACATCATTTTACCGTAAAAGTTGATCACAGATGTTGTGAAAATGGTCAGTAGTGTGAACTCCCGACACGGGGGGACAGAATATTTCAGGAGAACACAATTTCTCACAACACCTGACCTCCCGGCTGACGTCACCCCTCCTCCGTGTGTGAATGGTGACCGCTTCAAGAACAGAACTAGCTTGGTTCCTTCAGAACTGGTAGGGTAATAAAACAGTCATTATTATATATACTTTTTTAAAGAGGTCGAGTCGCTTGTTTTGAGCTTTGTGTGGATAGGAAAATGATTAGACCAGAGGTGTCAAACTCAAATTCACACTGGGCCAAAATGAAAATCTGGGAAGAAGTTACTTCATATTTTTTGAAAAAGTGACACAAATTTGCACATTTTCTTTATCAACATATATGCAATTTTGAACCTTTTAATTTGGAAACAAACTTATTTTTGCATTAACACTGAATGTGGAATAACCAAATTACACACGAGCAAGTCCGTTTAAATAAAAGGCATCAGTGGTATTCATTACTTGTGGTATTTTCAGCATTTTTATAATCTATTCAGGATTTATGTTTTCTTGTTTTCTTTTCATTTTTCTTATTTTTTATTCTCCTTTTTTCTCCTGTAATAAGTGTCATCGCTGCTGTGACATCTAGCTTTCCTCATTGAGGAACAATAAAGGGATATTCTATTCATCTATCTGCAGCCTTTCTACTTCCTGTTTACTGTAGGTTAAATCTTTTCTCACTGGCCAACAACAAAATAAAAATATCATTTTATCTTAAATGAAAATGCAACATCTCACCTGTTAACTTTCATGTTTTGGAGCAGAAAAAGAGCATAAAACCAACATCTTAGGTGTGTTCTTGCTGTGTCGTATTTCTAATTCCATGCTGTAGTTCTTTTTTAAAACACAGAACAGTTTTGTTACCTGTTTTCCCGCTATGTTTCGTTTGCGGCTGCAAACTTCCTCAGGCCACTACAAGACAAAGGCAAAATAACAGAAAAAATATACAAACACTGGATTCTACGGCAAACATAACACCAAGAATATATGGAACGCCAAAAATACACAAACAAAACACCCCACTTAGACCAATAGTAGACAGCATAGGTACACCAACATACAACATGGCAAGAGATATCAGCAAAATCTTCAGCCCGTTATTAGGAAACACAGATCACCACTGCAAAAATAGCATAGAACTGGCAAAAGAACTAAAGGAGATTACAATAGAAGATAACAACATACTCATCTCACATGACGTCACATCCCTGTTCACAAACACACCAACCCAAAAAACCATAGACATAGTAGTTAACAGAATCAGACAACACAAGACTTTACACAAAAGAACAAACCTCACAGCAGATGACATAGCACAACTGAAAGGACTGGTAGCTAACTCCACTTACTTCACATACGATGACACAATATGCAAACTACTGGAAGGCTTCGCCATGGGTAACCCGTTATCAGCCACCCTGTGCCAGTTTTTCATGGAAGACCTAGAGCAGAAAGCCATAGCCCCCCCCCCCCCCCCCCCCCCCAAAACTGCAAAATAAAACTATGGAAACGCTACGTAGACGACATACTGGGAATCATACCAAAAGGACAAACAGAAACACTAACACAACACTTAAATAACATTGACGACACAGGCAGCATAAAGTTCACTTATGAGTCAGAAACAGAAGGCAGCATAGCTTTTATGGAAATGAAAATAACCAGGCAGACCGACAGGACCCTAAACATAAACACATACAGGAACCCAACACACACAGACCAATATCTATTATGGACATCAGAACACCCCACCATACACAATATGTCAGTAATCAGAACATTATATCACCGAACAAACATAATAACAGAAGAAAGAGACCGTAAACAAGAGCACAAACACATACAACACGCTTTAAAGACCTGCGGATACCCGACATGGGCAATAAACAAAGGAAAACAACAAACAACAACAGAAAGTAAAGAACAACCAAAGTAAAGAACCAGAAACCCAGAAAGACAAGAACCAAAACCAGTGATAACCCTACTATTCATCAACGGCATAACAGAAAAAATAAGAGCAACAATGAAAAAACACAACATAAACACACCAACAAAACCATACACAACAGTTAGAAACAGACTAGTACACCCAAAAGACAAAATATTAGCTGGACTTAAATGTGGAGTCATTTACAAAATCCCATGCAAACTCTGCAATAAAACATACATAGGAGAAACCGGACGCCAACTCAACACATGAACAATAGAACATAGAAAGGAGTGCGAGAAAGAAACAAGTCGAAGACACACAAGAGCAGCAAAACAAGAAGCAGAAAGCACAATAAAGAAGTCAGCCATAACAGATCACTGCACAAGAGAAAACCATATAATGGACTGGGACAACACAAGGATCATGAACACCGAACAACAAAAATACAAAAGATGGATTAAAGAAGCAATTGAGATAAGGAGACGTGTATGTGGGACCATGAACAGAGACGATGGAATTTACACGTTGGATTGTGCATGGGACTGCATCGTAGGAGAGGGGAGAGCGGGCAGCAGAGGGCGACAACGTCCTCTGCTGCCCGTGGATAAACGGAGACGGAAGTGACGCCACCATCAGCGTCAGCCTGAAGAAGTTTGCAGTCGCAAACGAAACGTAGCGGGAAAACAGGTAACAAAACTGTTTCTGTGTTTTAAAAAAGAACTATGGAAATAAAACCAACATATTTAAAGCTCAGTTTGCTCCACTGGTTTACTGTGATGCTCACCTGTTCCAGCCAGATACCTGCATCTTGGGGTTGATCTGAGCTGAGGAGGCTCCTGTTGTTTTGTTCATCTTCATCATAATAATGACAACATTAGATGACAACAGGTTTGAAACATAGGTTTGTGCTGCTGAGCATGTCTGAGCAGCTTGACCACGTTGTTGTGTGTCGGGGAGGAAAAATAACAACTACAGCAGCCACAGAGTCATGCTGGTTTGAGCGTGTCGCTGCTCGCTGGAGTTATATCAGCTCTGTCTGGAAGTTAGTTGGAAAACTTTCTCTTTCAGTCGTGAACACGTTACTGAGCGGTTAAAATCTCCGTTTCTGGGCTTCAACGTCGGCAAATAATAATAGGGATGAAAAATCTATGGTAGTGTATTTTAACATCTGGGGCGTCTCAGTCTCCCTCTGAAGGAGCTGTCCGTGGTCCCCACAGTGGAATGTGGTGGTTGGGAGGGTTTTTTAAAGATGGAGGTCATATTTCCCATCATCCTCCCTTCAGCATCCTCCCAGCTGTTCGTCTGACCACTTTCATAAACTTCTGCTACGAGTAAAACGTCTTTCTGCCTGTGCTTCAGCGATGCACAAATGTTACATAAATGTTAAAAATGTAGCTTACCTCCCCTTTTGTAAAGTTTCCGGTGCCACCCGGCAGCATGTGTCTTTGTTTCCCAAATGTCTGCGTCAGGAACTTTGTAGTTTTCAGGACAAGTTAAGAGAAGAGGCTTATGTGTTTTCCCAAATGCTGCATCAGTCCAAGCACGGCAAGTTCTACAAATTATTCCATTTTAGTAGCCGTTAGCAGAGCCCTGTGCATTGGTGTGTGCGTCTCTGATATTCGGTCTACCAGAAAATCAATGACAAAGGTTCCCACTTGCTTGAATTGCAAGCTCTGATTAAATGCGTGGATTTTTAAAAACATGTCTTTTTCTTCTAAGTAATGCGCTAAAGTCCCACCCCGTTTACAATCCATCTTTGACCAAGCAGTGTTATGTTACAGACACAGCATTTCCCCCATTCAACCAGAGAAATAAAGTACAGAAATATAATTTTACTCACTGATAAAAATTCGATAAGAGTCGATGAGGATTTGCTCTGTTTGTGGAGCTAGCCCCTGGTGGATGAGGAAGGAACTGCAATATTTGTCACTTCCGTGTTGGGATCAGTTCTGGGTGTCCAGGGTTCCCGCTTGATATTAACCTTAAAACTAACATATTTGACACTAAATGACACTTGTTCAGATTGCAAATGTCCCATTTGTTTTTGTCAGGAATGATTAACATCCTGCACGGACTTGGTCTTCGCTTCCTGGCTCTAGGACATAACACTCCTTTCATGGTGAGAAGCCCGTTCCTCCTCATTTCAATCCTAAATCTCCTGAGAACCCTTGTTCTGTTAAGTTCAATTCTCAGCTGTGATTGTAACTTTGTTCTCTGCTGTCCGCAGCACATTGGCATGGCACATAACTACCGAAACGTCAGCCAGGCCATCCAGGCAGTGAGGGATTGTGGGTATGAGATTTCCATGGGGCTCATGCCCAAGTCCATTGGTCCCGTCACATTCTGCTTCACCGGAACAGGAAATGTCTCCAAGGTACACAAAATACACAAATCCCTGCTCTTCCTTTTTACTCTGGTAATAAATAAACAAAAGGTTCTGCGTCCTGGAAGCAAACGTAAAGAACAGAGGAGTGGCTGAAGGATGTTTTTGCCCTTTCAGGGAGCCCAGGACATCATCAATGAGCTTCCTGTTGAATATGTTGAACCTCATGAGCTGAAGGATGTTTCTGAAACTGGAGGTAAGATTTAAAGATGCGCCAGAACTCTACTAATTTCTGTTTACCGTGAAGCCCGAGGCTGCTGTCCAGAGCTAAGAGGCATTAAAAAAGAAGGTGAGCAGGTGAGGAATAAAAGCAGCTGCAGCAGCAACAGAGGCCTCTTATGTGTTTATGGCAATTTTGTAATTAAATTATATTCAGTTAATTTCTATAGCACCAAATCACAAGAGTTGTCTCAGAGCAGGCTAGCTATGATTCATCAGTCTTATGTATATGAACTGAAGCTGTTAGCATTTAATGCTAACCTGTTGCAACAGTCACCAGTAACAGCACGTTTTTCTCAGACATGACCAAAGTGTACGCCACGGTTCTGAGCCGACACCACCACCTGGTGAGGAAAAGTGATGGCCTCTACGATCCGATGGAGTATGAGAACCGCCCAGAACTGTACACCTCTCACTTCAGGACCAGTGTGAGTTTCTTTTCTGCTGTTGTTCCTGTAAGATCACTCCTCATCCTAGTTCCCAGACGTTCCTGTCAGTCACACAGACGGCTTCTATTTCAGTCAGCTGCTCCGGTTGGGCTGCTGTTTCTGAGAACATCACACTTTCTCCTCACAGGCAGCTGTCCGTGTCTCAGAATCTGCTTTGGTTTTTCTGGGAAGTAAAACCAAAGCTTCCTTGTTACACTACTTACTCCCCGCTTTTTTTCATATTTCTTGAGTTTTATAATAATAACAATAATAATAATAATAATAGTAGTAATAATAATAATAATAATAATAATGAATTGGATTTATGTAGTGCTTTCCATTATTCATGCACTCTCACATTCACACGCAGCCAGTGATGGTAAGCTACTATGTAGCCACAGCTGCCCCGGGGCGTTCTGACAGTTGTTTTAGATAACTGTTATGTTGGACTTTTGCTGAACATGCTGCCAGTTTTTATAAATTGAAACAAATGGGGAGGAAAAATGTCTTCTTTCTCTCTGGGAATTTAGATCCGACTGATCTAAACAGCACGCCTGTAAGACTGCCTGTGGTTCTGATGATTTTTTTGCTCTTGACTGCTAATCAGGTATTGCAGGCAAGTTTTTTCAATCTACGTCGCCTAGCCAGAATCAAGCCTTTATCCCAGTGTTACTCAATAGGTGGCCTGTGGGCCAGGTCCGGCCTGCAGGGCTCATCTTTTTGACCCCCGGACCGCCAGCTGCCCCCCCACCCTCTCGTCTGGCCGTTGTATTTGCGCTGGAGGGGTAGGAATGGCGCTGGTGTGTAATGGTGTTTGGTAAATTGTACTGGTTTGTGTGGGGTTTTCAAATGATCCACCAGCACCCCAGCTACTGCTAGTTCACCTGTTGACTTGATTATAGATCACTAAGATGATAAAGTTAAATAGAATATTTACTAAGAAATCACAATGTAGCCATAGAAATACTACTTTGTATATATGTTGTGTGTGTGTGTGTGTGTGTGTGTGTGTGTGTGTGTGTGTGTGTGTGTGTGTGTGTGTGTGTGTGTGTGTGTGTGTGCGCGTGCTCTGTCTTCTCCATCCCCAGTGAGTCATGGTGGATGGCTGATTATACTGAGTCAGGATCCTCTGGAGGTTTCTTCCTGTTAAAAGGGAGTTTTCCTCTCCACTGTTGCTGCATGCTTGCTTAGTATTGACATCATCATCATCTTTATTTTTGTAGCACTCTTAACAATCCAAAGGATACTCAAAGTGCTGAACACTACACACATAAAAACATTTGCAAAAAAGATTATTAAAAACACTGCTACTAAAACTAGATCACAGGGACACAAATGAGAACACGAATTACTGTGCAATGTGCTTAAAAGCTAGTGTGTAAAAATGCATCTTAAGCCTTTTTTAAAATACTTCAGCTGGGGAGGCCATTCTGATGGTTAATGGCAGAGCATTCGACAGCCTTGGGCCTGCAGCTGTGTAAGCTTTGTCCCCTCGGAGCAATCAGCAGGAACTGATTGGTCGAACAGAGGACTCCAGAAGGCTCGTACCAGCAAAGCAATTCGGCCCAGTATGACGGAGTTAAACCATGTAGGACTTTAAAAACAAATAAAATAATTTAAAAATCAATTCTGTACTGAACTGTGAGCCAGTGCAACATGTGTGAGGATTGCTGTAAAGACACTGACACTAGTCCGTGACATCATGCAACCGGCTGGGTTCCTTATATACCGTGCGTTTTCAGTGCTGACTCTGTTCAGTGTGGCGTTCCGAAACTAGTTTTTATATACAGGTCCTTCTCAAAAAATTAGCATATTGTGATAAAGTTAATTATTTTCTGTAATGTACTGATAAACATTAGACGTTCATATATATTGGATTCATTACACACAACTGAAGTAGTTCAAGCCTTTTATTGTTCCTAATATCGATGAGTTTGGCGTACAGCTCATGAAAACCCTAAATTCCTATTTCAAATAATTAGCATATCATGAAAAGGTTCTCTCAATGAGCTATTAACCTAATCATCTGAATCAGCTCATTAACTCTAAACACCTGCAAAAGATTCCTATCCTATTCCCAAAACTCCTATCTCAAATAATTAGCATATTTCATCCGACCAATAAAAAAAAGTGTTTTTAATACAAAAAATTCAACCTTCTAATAATTATTTTCAGATATGCACTCAATACTTGGTTGGGAATCCTTTTGCAGAAATGACTGCTTCAATGCGGCGTGGCATGGAGGCAATCAGCCTGTGGCACTGCTGAGGTGTTATGGAGGCCCAGGATGGTTCGATAGCGGCCTTAAGCTCATCCAGAGTGTTGGGTCTTGTGTCTCTCAAGTTTCTCTTCACAATATCCCACAGATTCTCTATTGGGTTCAGGTCAGGAGAGTTGGCAGGCCAATAGAGCACAGTAATACCATGGTCAGTAAACCATTTACCAGTGGTTTTGGCACTGTGAGCAGGTGCAGGTTGAGCTGACAAATGAAATCTTCATCTCCATAAAGCTTTTTAAAATCTCCTGATAGCTAGCTGCATTGACCCTGCCCTTGATAAAACACAGTGGACCAACACCAGCAGCTGACATGGCACCCCAGACCATCACTGACTGTGGGTACTTGACACTGGACTTCAGGCATTTTGGCATTTCCCTCTGCCCAGTCTTCCTCCAGACTCTGGCACCTTGATTTCCGAATGACATGCAAAATTTGCTTTCATCTGAAAAAAGTACTTTGGACCACAGAGCAACAGTCCAGTACTGCTTCTTTGTAGCCCAGGTCAAGCGCTTCTGCCGCTGTTGCTGGTTCAAACGTGGCTTGACCTGGGGAATGCGGCACCTGTAGCCCATTTCCTGCACACGCCTGTACACGGTGGCTCTGGATGTTTTTACTCCAGACTCAGTCCACTGCTTCCGCAGGTCTCCCAAGGTCTGGAATCGGTCCTTCTTCACAATCTTCCTCAGGGCCCATTCACCTCTTGTCGTTGTGAAGCATTTTCTGCCACACTTTTTCCTTCCCACAGACTTCCCGCTGAGGTGCCTTGATACAGCACTCTGGGAACAGCCTATTCGTTCAGAAATTTCTTTCTGTGTCTTACCCTCTTGCTTGAGGGTGTCAATGATGGCCTTCTGGACAGCAGTCAGGTCGGCAGTCTTACCCATGATTGCAGTTTTGAGTAATGAGCCAGGCTGGGAGTTTCTAAAAGCCTCAGGAATCTTTTGCAGGTGTTTAGAGTTAATTAGTTGATTCAGATGATTAGGTTAATAGCTCGTTTAGAGAACCTTTTCATGATATGCTAATTGTTTGAGATAGGAATTTTGGGTTTTCATGAGCTGTACGTCAAAATCATCAATATTAGAAACAATAAAAGGCTTGAACTACTTCAGTTGTGTGTAATGAATCTAATATATATGAAAGTCTGATGTTTATCAGTACATTACAGACAATAATGAACACAATATGCTAATTTTTTGAGAAGGACCTGTAGAAAGGTTGTTCTGACTTTAGATGTGCCATCAATTTGAGGGTTTTAAATTTGATCCTGTTTTTAGAGTGTTCTCTATAACTTATATGTATATTCTGTTTTATGGTTTATTGTCTTGTTGTGTGCAGCAGCTTGGGCATCCGGTGAGGTTGCGGAACACACTCTATAAATAAAGTGAAGTGGTGCTGTGGGTTGAGGTTATTATAGGTCTTTAGGATGAATACAGCCCTAGACAGGATGAAGATGTCTAAGAGTATTAATCAGTCTTTTCTGTTCTGTTGCTGGCGAATAAACATTTGTGTCGTAATTTACATGAGCACCTCTAAAGCTACTTTTATTTTAATTTATTATAGTTTTTTACAATAATTAAAATGTCTAAAATGCCACTTGAACCAGTTTAATTTCTAATAACTTTTTGGTGTGACTTAACAAACCAGCCTAAATGTTTATGCCTGTGGTGTTGTTTCTCCTGCAGGTAGCACCGTACACAACCTGCCTCATCAATGGTATTTACTGGGACCCTCAAACCCCCCGGCTCCTCAAACGACTGGATGCTCAGAGGCTCATAAGACCCCGGAAAACCTCGTCTAATGACCACGAAGGTTCACCTGCGCTGCCTCACAAGTAGGACAGCTGCAGTTTCTTTTGTGTGAATGTTTAAGTCTGAGTGTGCAGGAAGGAAGATCCAGCTGCAGAACCATTAATGAAACAAACATGTCATCTTATTCAGGCAAATTTCACTCCTTTTTCTACACATCTTTAGTGGTCTATAGTATCACTGCCTTGTGAGTCAGTCTTTGTTAGAAAAAGCTCTGGTGCTCCTGTTTCAGGAAGTAGAAGTGAGATAGAGGAGAGGTGAGCAACAGATGGCAGGATGTGCATTTAAACATCTATCTTCTGATTGGCTAACAGCAACACAACTCTACCACTGACTCTGTTTGCTCTGCAACGTTTAATGTTTTATCTCCACAAATAACAATACTCAGGGCTGTACATTAACATTTTTAGCTTATAGCACTTATAGCACGTTCAGTGGCAAAGACATAGAAGAGTCGACGCCGCTACTGTGTATGGTAGTTGCATTTTTGTGTTCTATTTTTAATAAACTGTGTGGTTAACAGGATGTTTTAGCTAAGGCTTTAGCTCTAACTGCGGTAGTGTCATTCATAAACCCATTCACACACACCAGAATGAGAGCTCACTTTAATATTCATCAGGCAAAATGCATGCGAGTTTGACAAGTAATTAAAATTGCGCCCACATTTTCTAAGTTAACACACATCTCTTCAGTGGCGGGGATGGGAAACGGGAGATTTCCCGGTGGCCTGGCCGTTAAACTGGCCCGCTCAGTGATTGCCGGTCATGACGTGTGTAATATCCAAATGAGCAATCCGTCATGCAGCTCATCAGGGCATCTGCTGTCCTGATGCTCGCACAAACGGAGCAAACTGGGCACAAAGACACCCCCTCCTCTCACTTTGTCGGGGTCTGGCAAAGCGCAGCAGACACCAACCACCCCAGAGCGGCTACTGTATCGCGTCATACCCCTGTCAAAACCCGTGCACGCGCATTGGGTCCACAGCGCGCGTGTGAACGGGACTCGCGAGCGAAAATATACATGGCAGCGCGCGTGTGAACGGGACTCGCGAGCGGAAATATACATGGCGAGAGGTCATTTGTGCACTGAGAGGGAGCAAACTGTGTCTGTGAGCGCACAAGGATGTGCACAAGTGACAAACCTGCGTGCGCGCGTTGTCAACGAGCACACGGCAGAGGAAAACGTGCGCGCGCGGCAGCCTCTGTGCGCGCTCGGCAGCCTCTCTGCGCGCTCGGTTTCTGACTCCTGCTCGCTCGGCTGTAAGGGTTTTGGCACTCTGGAGGCGTGGCCTGTGGCAGATCTCCTCTGTCCTCTGATTGGTTAGTGTATCCCGCACTTTACCCTCTACCTATCTATATAAAAAAGTCTACTAGTCAAGTAGTTGCTGGCATAGCTCAGTTGGAAGAGCGGGTGACTCTCGCCCCGAAGGATCCAGGTTCGAGGCCGGGCAAGGAAAATGTAGTAGATGTCATGTTAATTTTTCTTAATTTCAGGTATTTTACAGTTGTGACCGTTCAACTGTCATTAAACGTCCGAATGTTTGCTGGGCAGTGTTTTAAAAAGTGCACATAAGCTAGATGGTTTTAACCATATAAAATTACATTTTTTGTGATACTGGAAAAATACATACTGAAATAAAACTACTGATTGAAAACTTTATGACTGTGGTTGTACAATATATGACTCACTAATACACTGCAAACTCCCTTAGAGTGGGGCTTCCAGAGAGAGAGACAGAGAGAGAAAAGTTCTTGCCTCATTAATGAATTGTTTATTTTTTTCAGTATTTAATTGACAAATTATCCTTTCAAATAATTAATTGATGAGTTACATAATTGTCCATTTAGAATTGTTGAATGGACTGAGTCAAGTTTGGTGCACTTTATATATTTCAAAACATGTTTTTTTTTTTATTTTAATGATGCATATAAATAATTTAAATGTTAATTTAATGAAATATTTCTATTTTTTCATTACCTCACCCTTGTTTTGACAAAAACGGGACCTTGCTGGATAATATCATGGAGAAACTATTTGTTCACAGTACATGGCTCAGTGAGGATCTGTGTACCGAAGGAGGAGAAACTCAGAAATCTGTCTGCAGATTGTTACAACCCAGACTGGAAGTGGTGGGCTGTAATAAGAAAGGAGACCAAACAGAGGAGTGGGGGTTCAACAACTGATTTATTTAACAAAAGTAAGGATTTACTAAAGCAAGTTAGTGAACAGAAAATGGCCAGTGAGGACTCTCCACCACACAGGAGAGACCCAGTGAAAGCAGAAAAACAGTAGGCTTTGTAGGCAGCACCACACCCTGAGCCCAGGTGCCTCCAAGGCTGCTTAACCAGCTGCCTACAACAGAAGAAAAACACAATTAAACACAAATGAAAACCCAATGAGATGGTGGGGGCATCACAACACGTTCAGGACTACCCAAACACCAGTAAATCTTGACTGCACTGATCTGAGGTGTCAATGGCCATATTCCCCTCTCTTCCAGAGTCATATATTTTCCTCAAGTTCAACTGCACTCTGAAGAGGCTCATTTGGATTGTGCCACATAGGCCAGTGACCTTTGTCTCAGCACTGTATGCTGGAACTATCAGCGACCAACCTGGGAATCTGGTGTGTTGAAAATGCTACAACTAGAGATGGTCATCTTGGTAGACAGGGGTTTCTGCATTGATGACATTGTGCCCTGCAAAGTGTACAGGCCAGCTTTCCTTTCTGGCAAACCTCAAATGTCTGCATGTAAAGTTATAGAAACAGAAGCCATAACATCTCTGAGTGCATGTGGAGCGCTCCATTCATCTGGTCCAAGAACACAAGCATTTTGATTGTTATTCCCCTCCTTGCATTTGTAAACAATCAGCTCTATATGCTGTGGTTTTTCTCCTTACCAACTTTTAAAATAGCCCACTAGTGAAGGCCTGGGCAAAGAAGCCTGATGTCTGAGAACCTCAACATATGTACGGCAACCATACTGTATATTTACACACTTTCATAAAGAAGCTGCATATCAAGCTTTCATTCAGATGACCTTCAACAGTGCTGCACCCTGCTGAGGGACATCCGAGTAAAACCTTGAGATGGCCATTTTCTGTTCACTAACTTGCTTTAGTAAATCCTTACTTTTGTTAAATAAATCAGTTGTTGAACCCCCACTCCTCTGTTTGGTCTCCTTTCTTATTACAGCCCACCACTTCCAGTCTGGGTTGTAACAATCTGCAGACAGATTTCTGAGTATCTCCTCCTTTGGTACACAGATCCTTACGGAGCCATGTACTGTGAACAAATAGTTTCTCCATGATATTATCCAGCAAGGTCCCGTTTTTGTCAAAACAAGGGTGAGGTAATGAAAAAATAGAAATATTTCATTAAATTAACATTTAAATTATTTATATGCATCATTAAAATAAAAAAAAAACATGTTTTGAAATATATAAAGTGCACCAAACTTGACTCAGTCCATTCAACAATTCTAAATGGACAATTATGTAACTCATCAATTAATTATTTGAAAGGATAATTTGTCAATTAAATACTGAAAAAAATAAACAATTCATTAATGAGGCAAGAACTTTTCTCTCTCTCTCTCTCTCTCTCTCTCTCTCTCTCTCTCTCTCTGGAAGCCCCACTCTAAGGGAGTTTGCAGTGTATTAGTGAGTCATATATTGTACAACCACAGTCATAAAGTTTTCAATCAGTAGTTTTATTTCAGTATGTATTTTTCCAGTATCACAAAAAATGTAATTTTATATGGTTAAAACCATCTAGCTTATGTGCACTTTTTAAAACACTGCCCAGCAAACATTCGGACGTTTAATGACAGTTGAACGGTCACAACTGTAAAATACCTGAAATTAAGAAAAATTAACATGACATCTACTACATTTTCCTTGCCCGGCCTCGAACCTGGATCCTTCGGGGCGAGAGTCACCCGCTCTTCCAACTGAGCTATGCCAGCAACTACTTGACTAGTAGACTTTTTTATATAGATAGGTAGAGGGTAAAGTGCGGGATACACTAACCAATCAGAGGACAGAGGAGATCTGCCACAGGCCACGCCTCCAGAGTGCCAAAACCCTTACAGCCGAGCGAGCAGGAGTCAGAAACCGAGCGCGCAGAGAGGCTGCCGAGCGCGCACAGAGGCTGCCGCGCGCGCACGTTTTCCTCTGCCGTGTGCTCGTTGACAACGCGCGCACGCAGGTTTGTCACTTGTGCACATCCTTGTGCGCTCACAGACACAGTTTGCTCCCTCTCAGTGCACAAATGACCTCTCGCCATGTATATTTCCGCTCGCGAGTCCCGTTCACACGCGCGCTGTGGACCCAATGCGCGTGCACGGGTTGTGGCACGCTTTAAACGCCATACTACTGCACCACCACAACTTTGGCCCCAGAGGCAAAATGGACCTAGAAGGACCAGGAAAGGTGGAGCAGAACAGGAAAGATGGAAAAAGAAGAAAGCTCTGGCCACAGATGCATGTCCAGGCTGGCCTGCATGTGGTCATGTTGGGAGAACCGGTTTAAGGTGGAGTTTTTGGGCCAGTTTAATTATCGCGCAGCGCGCAATGCTGGGCACGTGGGGTGGGTTGGGGAGGGAGAAACAGCAGCTGTCAGTAACGGATCATGATGATCAGGTTCTGATGATCAGATCATCAGACTCATCCTTTAGGGACAGAGAGCAGTGCATTGGACCGGTACCAGCACCGCCGCCACTTCTAAATATAACCTTTCAGCATCCTAGCACTTTTTCAAGGGTACTGTGCATACCGGTAAAATTTCCAGGTGTTCATTAGTCGAAATCTCAGAGATTTTTGAAAAGATATCTGTGTGTCCTCAAACATCAGTCATCCACAGTCTGGCACGAGCTCCATGAAGGGCCGCATTTTGCGCACAAGGCGCATCACTGCCGCGAGGCGCGCTACGCGTCACTATCAGCTCAGACAGAGGAGAGAAATTAAAACTGTTTCCCCACAGCGTACACATTCCTGCAATGACTGACAGCAGCATCAGCTGACCACCCAGTGGTTAGACGCTCTGACAGGCAGGTACATCCATGGAGGAGAAACGGTTTCTAAACGGAAATATGGATCGTGAGCAACCACAAGACATAAAAGGAGTGTGCTTCACTTGAAATGTTGTGGCCATAAACATCCAGCTGCTGCTGGTCATGAGACGGATGAGATGATCATTCTGACCTGGACTGATCTGGATTAGATTTCACATCAACCCTGAAGATCATTTATGACATTTCTAGTTAAATGCATATACCTTCACCTCTGGCTTATATTGTGTTTGGTTCATGGCCTTTAAATCCCTAGTATTATTATTGGTGTTTATATGAATATTATGAGGAAAACATCCATGTATACTGGTCTGTCTGTATATACGGATGTCAGAGATGTATGCATCTGCAAAAGGCTTCTTCTATTGTTGAGGCTGTCCATTTAATCTGTGCTACTATAGTAAACCTAAATGACACTAATGATGCAGTCATTTAGCACACTTTATTACAATTATTCACTTTAATTACACAATAATACACTTTAACTAATTATTGGAAGAAATTGGGGAAATTTGGGGGCTGTAAAAGGAAGTGTTACCTAAATAAATATTAAATATAAAATCCTATCCGGTAGGCTAGAAAAGTCACTAGTAATCCCATGTAACCTTAACCGGCGACATGATGCTCTACACAGACTACACAGTAGCAGCGACAGGCAACTGGTTTGATCTGCTCTGAAAGACGTTTAGCACGTCTGACATATAGTATATATATATATATAGCTTGAGTACACTGTACAGCCCTGATCCTGGAGGAGTGCTGCTGTGTGGTGAAGTTGCTAATTCTAACAGTTATCTACTAGCTGAGATGTTCTCTGCTGTTTTCTGGAAGCTAAACCAACAACAGCCTTCCTGTCATTTGTCAGAATGGGTGTATTCATGAATGTTAGGTGACCGTGTGACGTAGATCTGAGTGACTTTTCTAATCTGAGTATTTCAGCAACTATTTTCTATCATCAGCTAATGCAGGAAGTAGAAGAAGACTATTTTCACATTCAGCCTGCATGAAAAACTCAGAGACCAATCATATTTCTGTTATAAGTTAAAAACATTTTCTTGGTTAACGCTGTTAGAAACTTGCAGCGTTTATACGTTTTATTTTTTCTGTTGCTACATGTGTAAAAGACAACTTTACTGATGAGAAGCTATTGCAGGTTATTCTGTATCAGAGCCCATGAAACTGCTCTGTTAAGTCTGATCAGGGCCAGAACATTACAGACTAGCAGGTTGTAACTGATGCACTCTTTAACAAAGCTGTTTCTTCCTGTCGTTGATGATGGAATGATGGGCCTCACACATACAGGTCCTTCTCAAAAAATCAGCATATTGTGATAAAGTTCATTAGTGTCTGTAATGTACTGATAAACATCAGACTTTCATATATTAGATTCATTACACACAACTGAAGTAGTTCAAGCCTTTTATTGTTTCTAATATTGATGATTTTGGCGTACAGCTCATGAAAACCCTAAATTCCTATCTAAAAAAGTTAGCATATCATGAAAAGGTTCTCTAAACGAACTATTAACCTAATAATCTGAATCAACTAATTAACTCTAAACACCTGCAAAAGATTCCTGAGGCTTTTAAAAACTCCCAGCCTGGTTCATTACTCAAAACCGCAATCATGGGTAAGACTGCCGACCTGACTGCTGTCCAGAAGGCCATCATTGACACCCTCAAGCAAGAAGGTAAGACACAGAAAGAAATTTCTGAACAAATAGGCTGTTCCCAGAGTGCTGTATCAAGGCACCTCAGTGGGAAGTCTGTGGGAAGGAAAAAGCGAGGCCGAAAACAATGAGAAGAGGTGACTGGACCCTGAGGAGGATTGTGGAGAAGGACCGATTCCAGACCTTGGGGGACCTGCGGAAGCACTGGCCTGTGTCTGGAGTAGAAACATCCAGAGGCACCGTGTACAGGCGTGTGCAGGAAATGGGCTACAGGTGCCGCATTCCCCAGGTCAAGCCACTTTTGAACCAGAAACAGCGGCAGAAGCGCCTGACCTGGGCTACAGAGAAGCAACACTGAACTGTTGCTCAGTGGTCCAAAGTACTTTTTTCAGATGAAAGCAAATTTTGCATGTCATTTGGAAATCAAGGTGCCAGAGTCTGGAGGAAGACTGGGCAGAGGGAAATGGCAAAATGCCTGAAGTCCAGTGTCAAGTACCCACAGTCAGTGATGGTCTGGGTGCCATGTCAGCTGCTGGTGTTGGCCCACTGTGTTTTATCAAGGGCAGGGTCAATGCAGCTAGCTATCAGGAGATTTGGAGCACTTCATGCTTCCATCTGCTGAAAAGCTTTAAGGAGATGAAGATTTCATTTTCAGCACGACCTGGCACCTGCTAACAGTGCCAAAACCACTGGTAAATGGTTTACTGACCATGGTATTACTGTGCTCTATTGGCCTGCCAGCTCTCCTGACCTGAACCCAATAGAGAATCTGTGGGATATTGTGAAGAAAAAGTTGAGAGACACAAGACCCAACACTCTGGATGAGCTTAAGGCCGCTATCGAAGCATCCTGGGCCTCCATAACACCTCAGCAGTGCCACAGGCTGATTGCCTCCATGCCACGCCGCACTGAAGCAGTCATTTCTGCAAAAGGATTCCCGACCAAGTATTGAGTGCATAACTGAACATAACTATTAGAAGGTTGACTTTTTTTTTGTATTAAAAACACTTTTCTTTTATTGGTTGGATGAAATATGCTAATTATTTGAGATAGGAATTTTGGGTTTTCATGAGCTGTACGCCAACATCATCAATATTAGAAACAATACTTCAGTTGTGGGTAATGAATCTAATATATATGAAAGTCTAATGTTTATCAGTACATTACAGATAATAATGAACTTTATCACAATATGCCAATTTCTTGAGAAGGATCTGTATTTGTCCCACTGCAGTTCTCACTTTGTTTTGACATGTTTATGGCGTGACTGTTGACCTGCCTCCTTCTCTCTCCAGGCTGCTGGCCATCTGTGACATATCTGCAGATACTGGAGGCTCCATAGAGTTCATGACCGAGTGCACCACCATCGATAAGCCCTTCTGCATGTATGACGCCGACCAGCACATCGATCATGACAGGTACAACTCGTCTTTGTTTTTCTGTTCACGAATGGATGGACGGACGGACGGACGGACGGATGGATGGATGGATGGATAAATAGACAAACTTTATTACAGACTCGAGGCCCAGCTTGTATTGGTTGTTTTGATAATTGGTCTGTGGGTTTTTAGTGGCTTATTAGGGATAGGAACATTTTCTGGAATACTCACAGATGTTTTCCTGTGTGCTGTTGGTCTAGTGTGGAAGGAAACGGATTCCTCATGTGCTCCATTGACAACCTTCCTGCTCAGCTCCCCATCGAAGCCACCGAGTACTTTGGAGACAGACTCTTCCCCTACATTTGGGAGATGGTAAGTTTTAGTCAGAGTTTTGTTTTCGTCCTTATCTTTGGTGCGTTCTGCTTTAAATTAAATCTGGTTGAGCTTTCTCCAGGGTAAGGCTGCAACAGAAAAAAATTGGTGCTTGTTTTTCATTTTAATTGATCTGTTCCTGATTTTTTTAATGGTCATTTTATTTTAACAGCTGCTTTCAGATGCAACCAGGCCCCTAGAGGAGGAGGAGTTCAGTCCCCAAGTCAGAGATGTGAGCCATGTCATTTTTAATAGTGATATATTGCTTTTTAAGTAGGGCTGCACGATATTAGGAAAACCTGCGATATGCGATAACAGTGATTGATATTGCGATGTTAATATTACTTGTGGTAATTTAAAAGTTAACTCAGGAACAAAAATAATCAAAAACAAAGAAATAAAAAAAAATGACAAAAATAAATCTTAAAAATGAGAAAAACAAAATATGTGAGGAAAGGGAAAAAGAAAATGAACAAGAAAAGGCGATCAGTGGATCCCGGGAAAAGCAGAATCAGCAGAAAGAGCAGACCAAAGCTAACTCAGGTGTTTGCTAACCATCAAAATGAAGTGCCGTCCGCCTCGGGGGCGGGCATCTAACCTATGAGAACCCACCCAATTGGCCAAACGGGTGAAGAGCTCTATTTGATTTGTTGAAAAAACATCATGCTTCCATTTGATTGACAGAATGCATTATGTGTAGCAAACATTTGAGCTGACCATTCATTGCGATATTTATCCGTTCTTTGCGATATGCATATTGTGCATGCTGATATTGCGATAACGATATGATTGCGATATATTGTGCAGCCCTAGTTTTAAGGGTATATTGCTCATTGACGTGAAATGATAATTACGTTTAATAAAACGATCTTTTTCATGTTGTTCTTTAAGGCTATCATCACCTCCAATGGAGTTCTCACTCCCAAGTTTGAGTACATTGAAAAACTTCGAGAAAGAAGGTACGTGGTATTTGTGCACCTTTGAATAGTGAGTGGTAACTTGCTAAAATGATGTTTAGCTCATTCTTCAGTAAAATTGTTGAATGTTAAGTATGTGAAACTATCTATAGAGCACCTTTGTAGACATGAGTCACAAGGTGCTGCACAGAGAACATCACAGTAAAAGCCTAACAAGCTGTAAAGCCTGATTTATGCTTCTCCGTCTGCGTCAGTGCGGAGACACGCAACGCCATTATCCGTCCTTGCGTAGGGCTCCGGCAGGCACGCACGCAAGTACGTACGGAGTCGAGCCCACTTTTTTAAACATCCGTCGAACGAGAAGGATTACGCAAGCTTATGATTGGTCAGGACACCGCTGTTGTTTACAACGCTGCCATTGCAAAGAGAGCCGAGGATAACTAGCGGCAGACACGGAAAAGCTTGAAGAATACCTCGCGAAAAAACTCTTAAAAATATGAATGTTTCATTCTCTCGTGACTGGAGGAGTGAAAAGATGCGCAGCAAGCGTTTTATTTGGGGACAGAAATTACAGGAAACGTGGGTTTAGAGGTGGGGAGCGCATGAAGCGGTGGGAAAATGAGAGACAAATATGTCCGTGTTAAAAGTCTCTTATATACACAAAAAACACAATATAAACACACTATCTTGGACCGATACATGACAGGATACCACAGAACAGCGCTATGCCCTCTGTTGTCCTGCCGGGCAATTGCTTTGCAACACTCTCCAGGAGACGGAGAAGTGTGAGAGCAAAACGCCTCCGTCAATCCGTGCGTGTCTGTCCCTTGCGGAGCTGACGGAGAAGCATAAACCAGGCTTAAGCCTTGCAGAGACCTCCGAAGGGCGGGTGCTAAAAGTTGAGGAGGAGCAGAGGGAGGGAGGGGGGGGCTGAGTGTGCTGGTTGAGGTGAAGGAGTTCTAGATGGGCGGGGGGGTGGGGGCTGCTATCTCATTAAAATCTGTCTATCATGACTCTGGCAGAACAACTTACTGACCGATAAAAGTGTTAGATGGAGACGTGCATTTGGGATGGATGGATGATGGATGGACGAATTTTTCCAGGCCTTCTTGTAAGACCAGCAGCATTGCGTCCATGCACCTGTTTGTAGCCAATGAAGCTGGAGGAGAAGCGGGGTGATGTGGGTGTGTTTGGAGGACTTGGTCAGAAGTCGAGCACAGGCATTCTGAACCACCTGTAGACGGTTCAGGGAGGTTCTGCTCAGACACGTGAAAAGAGAGTTACAGTAGTCTAAGCGTGAGGAGATGGAGGAGTAGAGGTTAGCAGCACAATGTAGCACTATAAACAGTGTTGGTAGCACACTGCTTTCCCCTCTTGAGTCGCCGAATGGTACCGAAGGTTTTCTGGTGCCAAGAGCACATATGGACACCTTTATGTCTGGACGTGGTGTTCATTAATGACAAACCATATTCAGTCCCCAGGGAGTCACTGGAAGGAGCGCTCTCGAGCACCCCCTCCAAGATCTCCAAGGGTTGGTAGTCTGAACTGTAGTTTGGTGCATAATAGGGCTGCCACAAATCACTATTTTAATAGTCGACTAATCGCCAATTTTGTGGACGATTACTCGACTAATGGTGTCATTTATAAAAGCATAGCTTATTGCACCAGGATTCTCTAATATACATATCGTGAACTCCTATTTTGAAGTGTGATCAGTTATGTGCCTTCTAGTAATGACAAGATGCTTATCAAACATCTTTTAAATAACTTTGTAACCTGTTAATACAAATGCTACAGTCAGATGGAGGTAGGCACCCAAAACCAAAATAAATTGTACACCAAAATGATTTGTGTTGCCAAGAGGCATGGTGGCAATGTTGAAGCGCTTCATCTTCCAATCTTAGCCAGGAAAAGGCAGGACACACCGAGGTAGGCCTCTGTAGCACGGCTGGTCCACACGTCGGCAGTCAGGGACCATTGACAGCCCTGAGGGCCTGCTTTACCGTAAAGATAAAAGATGATAAAGTTAGTTTATTTACCAAATTAATAATTTGGTAATATCAAATAAAGTAGTCTAAGATTTAACACAAAGAAAATGTTTTATGCTTTAAAAATGTTAGTTTCTTGACTGTTCAGTAAACAACCTTTTTATTTTATCATAAAATGTATTGTAGTCTAATATAAAAATGTACACACACACACACACACACACACACACACACACACACACACACACACACACACACACACACACACACACACACACACACACACACACAGCTTTTTCATCATTGTGGTGAAATGGGACCGACCTGGTAGGTAGTTGTCGCGGTGTCCTTTGTTGAACTGCTTGATCATCTGTTTGAAACCTTTGTCGCCGACCATGGACAGGAGTCTCGTGACCAACGTGTTCACAATTGTCAGTGTTAGGTAATTTGATTTTATCCCATATTACCTTAAAGGACAACACACCCGAAGAGAGAGAGAGAGAGAGTGAGTAAATTGATTATTTGTAATGTCCATGTGTGTAGCTCAACCAGGCCCCATTCTGCTCCAGCCTCAGCCTTCTGCTCTTACCAGCTCTGCATACCTGCATTCTCCAATTATCTGTTAGATAATATTTAACCTCCATAACCCTGGAACCTGAAATAAACACACATGACAACCAGGAAGACATTTTACACTGAATTAGCCAAATGGGGGGAGATCACCATGGCACATAACTCTCTCCAGAGCTATCTGCCAGGCGACTCCCACTTCCTCAGAGTCTTCAGTGGTTTTATTCAAGCGATGGGTGAGGGGGAGAAGGCGGACCTTCTCAAATTACAGAGGTACAGAGTTCTCTCAATTAACATCTTTGCTCAACCTTTTTATGAACAGCCAACACAGATTCATGATGTGTAATGGGCATCTTTTAGGTCTCAAAAAGGTACATTTATAAAAATACCCAACAGTCAGGACGTTAGCTTGGCTGAGATGTACACGTAACAAACTTATCCATTGAAGAGGAGCAATTTCATTAAAACTGACGCAGTGGGATGACGTAAATCATTAGCATTTGCTGTTATACGTGACACACAAACGTGTTCTAAAGGTAATAGAATTGCCACCGCAGTAACTCTGTTAATGTTAGCACTAGTGACACACTCACTGCTGTGGCTGCTGCAGTTGTTTTCTTTCCTCCCTGATACAACTCTGTACCCTAACTGCTCAAATGATTTCCATGATCAGCAGCACATATGTGAACAGAGCAGTTTGAGGTTAGGCCAACTTCATTCTGTAACAAATGGTAAAAGGCCTGTATTTGATATAGCGCCTTCTAGACTCCTGGAACCCCCAAGGCGCTTTACAACACAATCAGTCATTCACCCATTCACACACATTCACACACTGGTGGGGATGAGCTACAATGTAGCCACAGCTGCCCTGGGGCGCACTGACAGAGGCGAGGCTGCCGAGCACTGGTGCCACCGGTCCCTCCGACCACCACCAGCAGGCAACATGGGTTAAGTGTCTTGCCCAAGGACACAACGACAGCGACAGACTGAGCGAGGCTCAAACCTGCAACCTTCCGATTACGGGGCGAGCACTTAACTCCTGTGCCACCGTCGCCCCACTCCTGTGCCACCGTCACCCAACAAGGTGCTGTGGACTGATGAAACTAAAACTGAGTTATTTGGGCATAACAATGGCCTTTATGCATGGAGGAACAAGCATTCCAAGAAAAGCACCTGCTACCTACAATAAAACGTGGTGGTTCCATCATGCTGTGGGCTGTGTTGCCAGTGCAGGGACTGGGAATCTTGCTAAAGTTGAGGGACGCATGAATTCCACTCAATATCAGCAGATTCTGGACACCAATGTCCAGGAATCAGTGACAAAGCTGAAGCTGCACCGGGGATGGATCTTTCAGCAAGGCAACAATCCTAAACACTGCTCAACATCTACTAAAGCGTTCATGCATTCAATCTGTGGTGTGAGTTAAAGACAGCTGTCCATGCTCAGAAGCATCTGACCTGAATGAACTGGAGATGTTTTGTAAAGAAGAATGGTCCAAAATGCCTTCAGCCAGACTCTTATTGGAAGCTATAGGAAGAGTTAAAGGCTGTTTTTCCTGCAAAAGGAGAATATACTAAATATTGCGTTCTTTTTTTTTTTTTGCTCACCTTTCTTCGCTTCTGTTTATCTGAGATTGTGCTTGTTCTGCCACTTGGAGCCTTAACTTGAACTGTGCTTGTGGTCTTCCATTTCCTCAATATGTTCCTAAATGTGGAACCAGACAGCTTTCTGGACCCTTCCCCTAAACCATGATGGTGAACAATCTGTTTTCAGGTCACATGAGAGTTGTTCTGAGACCCCATGTGGCTACTCTTCAGAGAAAATTCAAAGAGGAGGGAAACGTAGAATATGCTCTTTCTCATAACCGGATTCACCTGCATATAGAGCTCAAGGTTCACTGAGCTTTCCAAACCAATTTTTTGTTCCAATAATTAGTTCTTAAGATTTTAGAATCAATAAAGTAACAACAGCAATACCACTTATGTTTTATTTCAAATTGACTTGCTTGTGTGTAATTTGGTTATTCCACATTCAGTGTGCGTGCAAAATAAGTTTGTATCCAAATGAACACATATTTTGAGATAAAGGGAAATGTGCATTTTTACAGTCAGTTTTTCAATGAATTAGGGCTGCAAGAACGAATCGATAAATTCGATGAAAATCGATTACTAAAAGTGTTGGCAACGAATTGCGTCATCGATTTGTTGTGTTGCACAACTCTTCCAAAAGCAGCCAGCCCCCCCACCCCCCCCACCCCCGCCCCCCCCCCCCCCCCTCCCGCCCGCCGTTGCGCGCAGACCAGAGCAAGTCAGATCAGCGCGAGGGACAGCCGGCAGGTGTTTGGAAGAGAAACATGGCAGAAGCAGCGAGACCCAAAAAAGTAAAAACTTCTAAAGTTTGGGAACATTTTAAGTTAAATCAGGCGAAGACATTCGTAACCTGCAACGTTTGTAGGTCAGACTTAGCATGGCACGGGAGTACTA